TTTGTGACTAACCTTAGTTAGTTACAAAACCTCAGAGGTAGAATAGAATGGAATGGAATGGAATGGAATGGAATGGAATAGAATAGAATAGAATAGAATAGAATAGAATAGAATAGAATAGAATAGAATAGAATAGAATAGGAAAACCTACACCGCTTCAGACAATAGTTATTCAATCTCTTCTTTAAAAACTTCCAGTGTTGGAGCATTCACAACTTCTGGAGGCAAGTTGCTCCACTGATTAATTGTTCTAACTGTCAGGAAATTTCTCCTTAGTTCTAAGTTGCTTCTTTCCTGGATTAGTTTCCATCCATTGCTTCTTGTCCTGCGCTCAGGTGCTTTGTTAGGAGACTATTGGGAAATCTTGGGTCTGGATTCATTCACTCCTCTGCCCCTTATCCCTTTGGAAGTCTAGCAGCTAGCCAGTTCACCCCTGCCTTGCTCAGCAACTGAAATGTTTTAGCCTCCAGTCCCCTAATCATCTTTGTTGCTCTTCTCTGCACTCTTTCTAGAGTCTCAACATCTTTTTCATATCATGGTGACCAAAACTGGATGCAGTATTCCAGGTGTGGTCTTACCAAGGCATTATAAAGTGGTAATAACACTTCCCGTGATCTTGATTCTATCCCTCTGTTAATGCAGCCTAGAACTGTGTTGGCTTTTTTGACAGCTGCTGCACACTGCTGGCTCCTATTTAAATGGTTGTCCACTAGGACTCCGAGATCCCTCTGAGATCCCGAGATGACAGGAGGGGTAGAAAAAACTCTACAGTTGACCAAAGTCAGTTCTGCAGTCTTTCTCCAAAAATGTTACTGAAAACACAGACCCTGCTGGAAAGCAGAGCGGAAGGGTTCAGAAAAACCAGAAGGCAGGAGAGAGTGTTAGAGCAGGTTTCCCCCCCCCCCCCCCCCCCCCCCCCCAAAAAAAAAAAACAAGTTTAGCTCTTGTGGATCAATCAAGAAACTTACAGGACAGCCAATTTAAAAAAAAATAGCCTCCTTTTTCTCCACAGAGACTAAAACGCTATGCTCCAGGTTTTTTTTTTATGCTGGCAGAAAAGTATAATAGGACAGGTTACAGAAGTAACTGGACGAGTTTCCTAATTTTAGATTCGCTACCTTCAACAGCCCTGCTGGCAAAGGACAATTGCTTCGCTACCATGGAGTAGGGAGGACTTGGCAAGGCTTGCTTGGTGTCTAGAATGATGCCTTGCTTGAGTGACAGGTCCCAACTGCTCTCTCTCTCTCTCTCTCTCTCTCCCTGTGAACTGTCAGGCAAACTGTCTCTGAACCCGAGTCTAGCAATAGTCCGGATTTAAAAACAGCCTGACTGACGGGATTCAGAGATGGACAGTGAGACACCATGAGACTTGGTGGGCAGCACAGAATAGGGACAGATAAAAATTCTCTTCCACTTCATTCTAGACCCCTTCCCTGCACCGGAAACCTGGGCAACTGAACTACAGGTAGTGTAGTGATTGACTTACAGCAGGGGTGGGCAACTATGGCCCTTTTATGAATTATGGACTTCAACTCCCAGAATTCCTGAGCAAGCCATGCTAGCTCAGGAATTTTGGGAGTTGAAGTCCACAAGTCATAAAGGGGCCATAGTTGCCCACCTCTGACTTACAGTCTTTCCTTTAATGACTGTTCAAAGGTTACAGTGGCATTGAAGAAAGTGACTTATGGCCACCAGGAACCATGGTGGCGCAGTGGGTAGAGTGCAGTATTGCAGGCTGACTCTGCCCATTACCAAGAGTTCAATCCTGACCAGCTCAAGGTTAACTCAACTTTCCAGTCTTCCGAGGTGGGTAAAATGAGGACCCGGATTGTTGGGGGCAATAGGCTGACTCTGTAAAACTGCTTAGAGAGGGCTGCAAAGCACTATAAAGTGGTATATAAGTCTAAGGGCTATTGCTATTTTTCACACATATGACTGTTGCAGCATCCCCATGGTCATGTAATCAAAATTGGAGCACTTGTCAAATGGCTGGGATTGATGACAACTTCACCTGTCCTGGGTTCATGGGAACAGCCTTGGTAACCTTCCCGGCCAGCTTCCCACAGGCAAAGTCAATGGGGGAAAGCCAGATTCAATTCACAACCGAATGGTTTGCATAACCAGTGCAGTGATTCATTTAACGACTGGGGCAAAAAAAAAAAAGTTTGTAACATGGGGCAAAACTCACTTCACCCCTGCCTTGCTCAGCAACTGAAATTTGAGGCTCTATTCAGTGGTGGGATTCAATTTTCTTTTTTTACTACCGGTTCTGTGGGCGTGGCTTGATGGGTGTGGCTTGGTGGGTGTGGCAGGGGAAGGATACTGCAAAATCTCCATTCCTTCCCCATCCCACTAACCTGCTTTCCAGCTCCGTTCTCTTGTGCAGGGCAACCAAAGAAGACCCAGCCAATCAGCTGGGATTCGGGAGGCGGAGAATAGATGGGGGCGGGGCCAGTCAGAGGTGGTATTTGCTGGTTCTCTGAACTACTCAACATTTCCGCTACAGGTTCTCCAGAACTGGTCAGAACCTGCTGAATACCACCTCTGGCTCAATTGTGCTCATAAGCAGAGGTCTACCTCTATCTATAGACTCAGGTTTAGAGTGCGAGAGCCACATTCAGAAAGAGCTGGATTGAACCGCCTACAGACTGCAAAGATCATTGGGGTTTCTCCATCCTGCTTCATACTATGTCTGACACTGGAAGTTTCTAAGAAGAGATTGGATTACGATTTGTCTGAAATGCTATAGGGCCGGGGTGTCAAACTCAAGGCCCAGGGGGTGGATCCGGTCTGCAGGGTGCTCAGATCTGACTCACCAGGCTGCCCTGGAAACAGCAAAGGACTGGCCCGCAGTGCCTCTGCCAGTGAAAACGGAGCTTGCAAGGTGGCCCTCCCGAGTTCTGTTTTCACTGCCAGAGGGTCGTCGCAGGTGAAAATGGAGCTCGGGAGCTCATATTCCCTGACAGTGCATTTGGGCCATCACTGGCAGCCCCAACACAAGTGACTTGAACTGGCAATGCCCACCCTGGCTAAGCCCATCCTAGCTCTTCCGAGGTCAAACACAACCCTGATGTCACCCTCAATGAAATTGAGTTTGACATCCCTGCTATAGGGTTTCCTGCCTAAGTAGGGGGTTGGACTAGAAGACCCCCAAGTTCCCTTCCAACTCTGTTTCTATTCTATTCTATTCTATTCTATTCTATTCTATTCTATTCTATTCTATTCTATTCTATTC